ATGGAATAAAATCAATCACACTTTTATTTATTTTACTGGTTTCAGCGAATTTTTAGGAAACCATATTGAACACAAAAACTTTAGTATTTTATAAAAAAGGACTTACAGAGGATAATTGTTTTTTGACAAAATTAAATAGTTAAGATTGTTGGAGCATATTTTTAAGTTATTTCTTTTTTGTTTTCGTCTTTGTTTTCTCCATGCTAATTTATTAATTAAATGATCGAACAAAATTAAATTTACTCCAGTTAAACCATAAATAATGTGGTATTAATATAAGTAGTGCCCGCATAATTGCTAGCTTTTCCTAAGACATTATCCTCTTACACAAACACTTCAAAACTTGTTTTCTTTTAATTTACACCTCGGAGCAATCTCTTTATGTAAACTTCAGTTTATAAGTTGTAATTAATTTAAAGTTTCTTTACAAAACTATCACTGCTTCTGACACAGTTAGTGAACATCTCCAGTGAAACTTACTAAGAAGATTATAAACAAGTTTTAGTTTAGAAATACTTATGTACATTTGTTAAACTTTGAGTGATGAATGATCATGCATTCAAATAACAAAAGAGATATTTAGGTCACTTTGAAATAATAGTTAGGATATATTTAAATTATTTGTAATTATTTTGTAAAAAAGTCATAAAAAATTCTAAGAATTGAAAAAATTAACGAGTAATCAGTAGTTATCGGTGTTTCCGAACCGATGACCAAATGACGGTACCTTCTTAAAAGGCTGGTAAGGCACCTTTGGTATAGGAGATGTCCATGGATGGTGCTGATTGCTTACCATAAGGTAATTTGTCTGCTTATTGGCGTCCAATTCCCATAATAAAAAAAATATTATTAAAAAAACAAAATACCCGACTGCACACTAAAAAAAGAGTAAAACAAGCCCAACAATACAAATTTACTGAATATAATTTATAAATGTTGATGGAAAGCATCGCAGGCGGGGACCAACAGAGGCTTATTTATAGTCATTTCTGTTGTGCACCATTTAGCAGAATTTTCGTTGGTGGCGGTCAAGGTGGTCCCCGCCTGCGATGCTTTCCATCAACATTTATAAATTATATTCAGTAAATTTGTATTGTTGGGCTTGTTTTACTCTTTTTTTAGTGTGCAGTCGGGTATTTTGTTTTTTTAATAATATTTTTTTTATTTATAACTTTTTAGCTGTTTTTATTTAACGAAAATGTTGTAGATGAAGTATCGAAAAAATCGCTATTTAGAGACGACCGTCAACGACGTGTGCCCTTATGCGTGTGCCCGCATTCGGGCTGTATACTCGAGCATATCCCCCTCCGCACCGCGCCGCGCGCCGCAAGCCAGGCCACGCCCTATCTTTTTGCTTGCTAACGCATGAGTTGCTTTGCGTTGACGCAGAATTAACATGTTCCCGTGGGAATTTTGAGAAAAAACGTATCCTATATTAATTACTCCCGTGATTGAAATGAATCTAATGATACCGCATACATATTTTTTTAAAGGGAAATTTAGAAAAAATATTATTATGTCTTTATGCCGTGGGACTTTTAGGATAAAATGTATCCTATGACACTCCCGTAATCAAGACAAATCTAACGATACCTCATACATCAAAATCCATCAAGCCGTTTAGGCTACAGGAGGTCACAAAGGAACAGACATACATACATACTTACATACACTCGAAAAACATTACCCTCCTTCTTTGGCAGTCGGGTAAATATATAAGTTTATTTACGTATTAAATCTTAACAGATTGTTTGGCAGCCCTATAGTAAATTTTAAAGTCATCCCAAAAAATCGACGTCTGCTTTCAAGGTCACATTCCTACACCTTACTAAAACAAAAACAAAACAACATAAAATTAAAAGCTGATTGTAAGAACAACAAAATTGTGTAGTTGCTTTATAATTTAGTACGCATCTGGGTCCCTAGTGTCTTATATCGTACAATAACTTAGCAGGCAAGTCAAGTGCGACAGCTACTGTTTTGTATGATTAATGATGCGGTCGTTAGCTGAGGCTGCAAATGGCAACCGAGTGTCGTCTTTATTTTCTCTTAAATGCGTTCGTCTTTCTTCTACGGTTGTGTCAAATCTGGGTGACGTCATGAAATAATGATGGCGCAGTGTGAATGGTGATGCTTCGCTTTTGTGCGTTTAGCTTTGCTTTTAGGGGTGTCGGTTTTTCAGAATGGATATAGATAAAACTTATTATAACGTAAAGAAACGTAAATAATGTAAGGTGGTTTCAACAATGCTGATTTAGTTTAGAAAATGATGATATTTATAATCTGGTGACTAATTCGTGATAAAAAAAATATTTCTACCGCCATTACTTAAACATAACATCATACTTTTTTCCATTATGAACATCCGATTTTGACAACAAATATTATAAGTACTAATACAATGTTACTTAAAAAAGTGCGCTAACGAATCCAATTTTTTAAAAATTAAAATAAAACTACTTCAAAAAGTATCCAAGACATCCCTAATTAGTTTACTCCCTCACACTAACACAAGACCAGACAATAAAGACCCATTACGGGCAGTAACAGCGACTGACAGCCCTACTTCCTCAACAATTTCAAATGAAAAAGATAATGCCAAGAAGTCCGACTCTTAGTTAACTGACTCCACAGCAGAGAACTTCCTGAATTTTTACTTTCAATTAAAGAGTGCTAATGGAAAAAAAACTAAGGAACATTCACAATGGTCGATCATTAGTAGGAAAAAGTTTTTTGAAACGCTACCAAATTCACTCTTGATTCTATTAAACGCGAACTTTGGGTTGTAAATCACAAGTTTTTTGTAAGCCAATGTCCAGTCTAATGTAGACTTGATGAATTGCAGCTTTGGACCTTTTTGTTTTTGGAAAGTAATTTATTAGGGAAACGCTGATGCGATGGAAAAACTTAAGGGTATTGACATTTTGTTATCTGTTAAAGATCTAAAGAGGAAAGGTGAATGGGTCGCCAGGGAGATTGAATGTCACGTCGTTGGAAAAAAAAATGAGAAATCGTATTTAAAATGCCGTTAATCTAAATTAATGGATACGATATTTTTGATGAAATTGGAAATATTTTAGCATTTTATTATAAATGTGCCTTATTAGAAAGGTAAACGTGCCTTATTTTCAATTTTAAAGGTAAAACCAATGCCATGTCGCAGTTTTACTACAGACTTTTAGGAAGCCATTTTTTATATTTTTAGATCTAGCAATTGAACCAACAAAATTGTGTTCAGCGCTTGTACTTGAAATAACAAGGAATTGAAAATTATTAAACTGAAGGCCTCTTAACTCTTAACACGGATAAGGTTTGAGCATTAATCACCACGCTTGCTCAAGGTGGACTGGCGATTTAAAACTTTAATTAGAAATTATATTTATCAAGTCCAGGTTTCCTCATGATGCACTGCGGTCTCGGCCCAGAGCAGGAGAAGGTTAGTAAGAGTCTGATGCTCTATTTCGCCAGAAGTTATTAGATGATTTTCCCCTCACGATGTTTTTCTTCGGTGTCTAAATAGTATTAGAAAAATAATAACTCGGAAAAAGTCATATGAGAAGCAGGCAACATGAAAACGAGTGAATTAATCCAATTATAGAGCACAACATTTTCGTACATCTTTCGTATAATATTTTGACATGACGAAGAATCTTTGTAATACAATAAAAATAACCTTAACCTTTAATTAAAAGAAGCCCTAGTAGAAGAAAGCCTACCAAATGTAAGCCACCCTAAACTAAAGAACAATTAAACCAAGAAAGTGAGGTTCCTTTTTTAAAAAAAGCATTGTTACTTCTAATTTCTTTTAGCAATTCTTTTTTTTTTTAGTTTGGGCGTACCTCGTTAACTTCGGTATTTACCCACCTTTACCTCAATTTACTTTAACGATGCCCTTGTAAATCCAAGGAGACCAGTCTTTTTGTCGTTGACTCTTGTACTGTTAAACCAAACCAATTTTGCATTTAAGAAACCAATATTGTCCAAAACAAATATCTTATAATCTTTGTTTTAAGATCTAGAATCGCTCGCCACGTCTATTTCGCGGCGACATCGAGCATTATCATCGTAATGAGTCTAATGAAGGTTTTTCAAAAGGGTACGGTTTACCAAGCGGCATTTAATTAAGACAGGACAAGCTCTGTTGGTAAATTTTCTTTGAATACACTAAAATGTTCTTTTTTGCGACTCTTCCTTATTAATTGGTGGTAATTTTGGTCAACGAAACCAATTGTGATGTAAATACCTGATAAGATAGAAAGACACCGAGATAAAACAAATAAATTGAGTGCATGTTTGGCGTGGTGGCTGGGCAACTAGCTGCCGCGCAATTTGTCACGGTTTCGATTCCCGCACGAAATAACTCTTTATGTGATCCACAAATTGTTCTTCCGAGTCTGGGTGTCTTGTGTATGTGAAATTATATGTATATAAACACATCGGCAACGACACAGGAGAAAATCCTAGTGTAGTGTAAGAAAATAATATTTTTTTGCTTATTATTGCCTATGTAAACCTGTCTTTAGTTACAAATGAATATATGATTATGACTATGATGCCAATAATAGTAAAAATTAAATCAGATTTTTTTTTATAATTTCGTTTTGGCACGGAAAAAGGAACATTGTAGATAAACCAATTGCAAAAACAAAACTACAACCATTATGACTACCAATTTGATCATTGTTCGAATTAGTAAATATTTGTTTCCGTACTGTGGGAAAGAGGAACTTGTAAGTATTTAACTATAGCACCGTAAATACAACACTTATAAATGTCCGGGTAAATTCGATTGTTAAGTCATTTTTATTCCGACAAGCAGTGCAGAAGCATATACGCTATGCTTGAGAGTATTTTAAAACTTGTATTATTTATTTTATCTATTTGGTTCGCATCATCGTTGACGACAATTAGAGAACATTATTCGCATAATAAAAATAACTTTAGTTATGAAAACGATTTGTATGAAAAAGCTTTGGATAAATTTCGGAGGAATTTTGATAATGGAAGCAGTTCAGAGTTTCGAGGTAAGGGCAGGTTTGTTTATAGTCTTAAATATGTAATCGCCTTTGTTGATTTGAATTTACAAATCTACAAAAATATTTGAAAAAATAACAATTTTTTTTTGTTGATGTATGTTATGTCTGTATGGTGCCGGACGTTAAGAATACCACCATCCCATCTCTTCCCGTGGGTGTCGTAAGAGGCGACTAAGGGATATTTCCTAAGGCCGTGCCTACTAATAAGCACTTTAGGCCACCGTGTGGGGTCGGTTAAACTACCAACAATAGCATTCCCAAGGAGGGTTAGCGTCAGGCAGGCGGCCGACTGTAAAATACTAGCCAAAACTCTAAGCAATATGTCAGTTATGAATGGAATGCGCGATAGTGTTAGGGCGTACCCCTCAGGCGACGCGCAGGGGCAGCACCCGGCTCCTGTGGGAAATGGACCAGGGTTGTTGCATCAGCCCGGGCGGGTGCAACGTAAGAAGTTAGCTCGGGAAATCAGATTGAGGTATGCCAGTTGGAATGTCGGGACTATGACTGGAAGGGCCAGAGAGTTAGCGGACGTATTGAAAAGAAGACGAATAAACGTAGCGTGCTTACAAGAGACTAAATGGAGAGGAACAAAAGCGAGAGAAATTGGTGAAGGATACAAGTTCTATTACTGTGGAAGTGATGGCAAAAGAAATGGCGTAGGAGTAGTGTTAGATAGCAAATTGAAAGAAAGCGTGATGGAAGTACATAGGATGAATGACCGAATTATAGTTGTGAATGTTATGTTAGAGAATGTTATGTTGAATGTAGGTAGTTAGTGTGTATGCACCACAAGTAGGATGTAATGAAACGGTGAAAGAGAAGTTTTGGGAGGATTTTGATACGGCCTTAATGAACATCCCTGTACATGAGGAGTTGATAGTGGGAGGTGATTTTAATGGACATGTGGGAAGAATGAGAGGTATGTTTGAAAGAGTACATGGCGGATGGGGTTTCGGAAATCCAAACAATGAAGGAGAGACACTGTTGCAATCCGCTACTGCATTTGATCTAGCAGTAGCCAATACGTGGTTTCAGAAAAAAGATGAACACCTGGCCACGTATAAAAGTGGTAATCATAAGACGCAAATAGATTACTTTCTAGTTCGGCGCAACCACTTAAAGTATGTGATGGATTGCAAAGTGCTGCCAGGAGAAGACTTAGTCTCACAACACAGACTCCTGGTTATGACATCAGTGGTTCAAATACATTGTAGGAAAACCAAAGAGCGCCCGCCCCCTAGAATAAAATGGCACAGGCTAGAGAGGAATGACTGCGCGAAGAAGTTCAGAGAGCGGGTGGTGGATAGAATGATAGAGATAGGAGACATGAATGATCGAAGTATAAATGAAAGCTGGAATGAGATGGCTGAGTGTATAAGGCAAGCAGCGAAAGATATTTTGGGAGAGACGAAAGGAAAGGGCAGAATAGATAGAGATACATGGTGGTGGTCGACAAGAGTTCAGAATGTATTGAAAGAAAAGAAGAAAAAATTCAAGGAATGGCAGTGCGTACAAACAGATAATGTTAGTTTGAAAGCTGAAAGAAAGAGTGAGTATGATGCTTTAAAGAAAAAAGCAAAGAAAGCCGTAGCAATAGCAAAAGCAAAAGCCCAGGACAAACTATATGATACATTAGACAGTCCTGCAGGCCAAAAAGAGCTGTACCGGCTCTCTAAAATGAGGGAAAGAAAGGCGAGGGATGTTTGCCAGGTAAGATGTGTAAGAGATGAAAGTGGAATGGTTTTATCGGATAATGACAAAATCAAAGAGAGGTGGAAGGAATATTTTGAAAGACTTATGAATGAGGAAAATAATTGGAGTGGGGTTTTAGAGAATAAACCAGTGAATGTGGGGTTAGTGAGAATGGTTAGTATGGAGGAAGTCAGAGTAGCAGTGAACGGAATGAAAAATGGTAAAGCCATTGGCCCAGATGGAATACCAGTTGAGGTGTGGAAGTTATTAAGAGTAGATGGATGGGTGTGGTTGGCTTTGTTCTTCAATAAATTGTTGCAGGAAGAAACCATACCTGATGAATGGTGCAACAGTTCTTTGGTGCCTATCTTTAAAAACAAAGGAGATGTCCTTGAGTGCAACAATTATAGAGGAATAAAGCTAATGTCGCATACCATGAAAGTATGGGAGAAAGTTATTGAACGGCGGCTGAGAGAAGAGAGTGACATTTCACAGAACCAATTCGGTTTTATGCCTGGTCGTAGTACAACGGATGCCATATTTGCTATACGCCAGTTGTGCGAAAAATACAGAGGTGCACATAAAAACTTGCACATGGTATTCGTTGACCTCGAAAAGGCATACGACCGGGTACCTCGTGAGGTTCTGTGGTGGGCCCTTAAGGAGAAAGGTGTGCCTGGGAAGTATGTGCAGTTGATCCGATCAATGTATAGTCGCTGCAGTACACAAGTCCGGTCTGCAGCGGACACCACTAGCAAGTTCAATGTGGCTGTCGGTTTACACCAGGGGTCGGCTCTCAGCCCTTACCTCTTCCTGATAATAATGGACGCTCTGACGTCGGACATTCAGGAAGAGGCTCCCTGGTGTATGCTGTTTGCCGATGATATTGTGCTGGTTGCCGAGAGTGCCCTAGAGGTCCAGAGCAGATTGGAGGTGTGGTGGCAAAGACTGGAGAGTGTTGGCCTAAAATTGAGCAGAACTAAAACAGAGTACTTGTTCTGCGATTTTGGCGGTCTCTCTAGTTCTGTGCCCATAGCTCTCGCCGGAACGCCCATACCAACCTGTTCTGATTTTCGGTACCTTGGCTCGCTTATCCAAGGAAATGGTGAGATAGACCGAGACGTGACACATCGGATCAACTCAGGATGGATGAAATGGCGACAGGTCACTGGAACAACTTGCGACCCACGGATGCCCCTCAGGTTGAAGGGTAAAATCTACAAGTCAGTGATAAGGCCTGTCCTACTGTATGGGTCAGAATGTTGGGCTCTGAAAAAGACGGATGAAAAGCGATTGCATGTAGCAGAGATGAGAATGCTGAGATGGATGTGTGGTGTGACGAGATTGGATAAAGTGAGAAATGAGTATATTAGAGGAAGTTTGAAAGTGGCGCCAGTGACTGAAAAGTTGAAAGGGAACCGTTTGTCTTGGTATGGCCATGTGAAAAGGAGGGATGAAAAGCATGTAACAAAAAAAGTCATGTGTATAAATGTGGATGGATGGAGAGGCAGGGGGAGACCAAAGAAAATATGGATGGATTGTGTGAGAAGTGATATGGAAGACAGAGGAGTTAGCGATAGCGTGACGAGTGACAGGACAGAATGGAAGAAAAAAACATATTGCGCCGACCCCAAATAAAACGGGACAAGGGCAGGAAGATGATGTATGTTATCAGAAATATACCTAATAATAATCTAAAATATTGTAATACATACTAAATGAGGAGTTTTTTGTTTGTTTGAACGCGTTAATCTTCAGAACTATTGGTTCGAATTGTATAATTCTTTTGGTGTTTGTTAGTACATTTATCGAGGAAGGTTATAAAACATCACGCCACGATGTGTAGGAGCCGAGCAGCGAGTGAAACCACGCGACAGAAGCTGGTATATAAATATTTATTTTCAAACATTACATCTTCCATGAGTACTCGTGATGTACCTACTTATTTTAATGCAGAACCATTATTATATATTATACTACACTTAAATACGACAAGGCCTAAAAACTTAAGCAAGGCCTTAGTGTCGAAGTTTATTTATTTTAATGCCACCTTCTGCATTTTGGACAAATATCTTGTTTGATTAAAAAAAAACTTTAGAAGGTTAAGTTGGAATAATTAATGTTTTGAGTTGAATGAAAGTTTTTAGTAATGAGATAATTTACATTTACAGCATGGCAAATTCTTCCCTTGCCAAATAATGGATTAGCCGATGGTGAGGCGGAAAGTATAATAAAAGGTTACAAATATCCCCCAGGTAAAAATATAGACAATAATTATTTGCATAAAAATATTACTTATACAATTAGATTAGGTAGGTATATTAAAAAATATATTTTTTTATATACAACAAACATAGATACAACAAATATGGAGAAGTCACAGACAGAGATAAGACGTCAAAAATCATTACACAAAAATTTTAAAATTAAATGTGTACATTGTCGTCATTGGATTTCGTAAGAAACTAACAATTATTTTTTTATTCATTTATTGCCAGTATTTAAAACCATGTACATAACTTGGACTTAATGCAATGAGCATTCATGTATGTATGTACTTAAGTGTGGGAGAGCCAAGCTTCGACCCGAATGGGTCGGCTCAACCGGGGACCACAGACTTATAGAAAACTGGTGTGAAACAATCACAGCGGTATATTTCGCCGTGTGAGTGAGGCTACCTTCCCCCTGCCCCCATCCATTCCCAAACCTTAAATATCCAAAAGCCTTATCCCTAAAAGGCTGATAGCGCACTCGTATCTCCTTTGGCGTTGCGAGTGTCTATGGGCGGCGCCGATTGCTTACCATCAGGTGAACCGTGTGCTCGTTTGCCGACATACGCCATAAACATATAGACAATAAACATATATGCATGCATATATTATGTTTAATGTCTCATATATTTTCAATAATATCGTCTTATTCTATACTCCCTATATCTCTTCCTAAATGTCGTGGTGGCCCGGAGGTTAAGGAGCCCACTTCTCATGCATGAGGGTGTGGGTTCGAAACCAGGCAAGTATCAATGTGACTTCTTCCGAGTTATATGTACTTTCTATGGATATTATTTAGACACCGCTGACATACGGTGAAGGTGAATATCGTGAGGAAACCTGGACTTACAATTTGTAATTATAAGTTTGAAATCGCCAACCCGCATTGAGCAAGCGTGGTGATTAATGCTCTAACCTTCTCCGTATGAGAAGAGGCCTTTGCACAGCAGTGGGCACTTATAGGCTGATGATGATCAAAAGACGGGGATTATAATGAATGTAAGTTAGTCGAAAATATGAGACCTCAATAAGCAATTATAATATTTTGCAATTATTAAGCAATACAAAAGTAACTGGTAGAACCAAAAGCCAATGAGTCCATCAATTACTTTTGTGTTTATTCTTTCAGGAGCTGATGGTCGACCCGTAATTCTGAATGATATTTATACTTTGAGATATTACATTCGACATGATATCCACAAGGGCTGGAGAGATCATGCCTTTAATAGATTTGTTAGTGATTTGATCCCAATCAACAGGACCTTAGCAGATCCTAGAGGGCAATGGTAAGAAAAAATCTTAAGGTGTTGTACAAGAACTACTTACATGTTACATAAATTGCACCTGATAAGATTAATTAGATTTTGAAGTGATTTATTTTCAATGTTTTTGATCTATAATGTATTTTTTGTTTTATATTGTTCCTTCACCTAATCGTTTATATTATCTGGATACATTTTATTCTGTGTTATCCCTTCTTCGAGACCTCCTGTTATTCGATACTTGTTTTATTTGAAATTCATAAATTCAATATTTCTCTAAAGGTTCATTTTTGTGTTCCTTTATTATAGACCGACTTTATTATTTATTTTTTATTACTCAATGTAATAATATCTCATTAAAATTTCCAGGTGCAAAAATCAAAGCTTTGCCTCCGATTTGCCTAAAGCTACGATCATAATTTGCTTTTACAATGAAGCTTGGTCCACATTAATGAGAACAATATCATCGGTACTCAATAGAAGTCCACCAGAATTGCTAGAAGAAGTGATATTAGTTGACGATTTTTCAAATATGGGTGATTTTTTTTTATGTTAATTGACAACTATCTTTCTCAATACGATATGCCACTAATTGGTTCTTGAGTTTTTCAAACAGACCTGTGTCTTAGATGTTACGAAAGTAATAAATATGTGATTTCCAGTCCACCTCAAACAGAAATTGGATGATTACGTACGTAATACACCAAAAATAAAATTAATTCGTGCAATTAAGCGAGAAGGGATTGTTAGAGCAAGATTGTTACCAATAAACGATGTGAAGACACCAGTTATTGTTTATCTTGACAGTCATTGCGAGTGTGCCGATGGTAAGTGAGATATTGAAGTTCGTAAATTAAACAAAGGGTACTAAAGTAAATTCAGCCAGAGTTTAATGATAACTGAAAAAAAAATGACATCATTGCAGGATGGCTAGAACCTCTTCTACAATGTATCAAAGAAAATCCAACTCGAGTATTAAGTCCAGTAGTCGACCATATTCACGATACGACTTTTGAATACATAGCACAAACAATTGAAGATCTTCGACTCGGTGGCTTTAATTGGGACCTCAAATTCGACTGGATTGGAATACCACAGGCAGTTAACCAAAAACGAACTAACAGCTATGCTCCGATAGCCACTCCAACGATTTCCGGTGGCCTATTTGCAATACACAAAGACTTCTTTAAAAAGATTGGTTACTACGACGAAGGATTTGAAATATGGGGCGCGGAAAATTTAGAACTGTCTTTCAAGACTTGGATGTGTGGCGGCTCTTTAGAAATAGTACCTTGCTCACATGTCGGCCATATTTTCAAAAACAGAATACCTTATAAGGACACGCAGAAAATAATAAGTAGAAATCATGTGCGATTGGCTAAGGTATATATTTGAAGGCATATTCGTTTTTAAAAGTTAGCGTTGTATATTAATTTATAAAAATGTAAATTGACGTGTATATTACAACCAGTTTAAGATAAATATTTAGGTTCACACGAAGAGTTGTTCCGTTAAGGAATCAAGTCCCAAACAAGTAACGTAACAGCGTGTAGCTCAACCACTGCGCCAACAGTCCAGTTGAGTTAAAATATTGTATATTTCAATAGAATTTTAAAAATTATTAGTCCACGTTTTCTTGTTCGCAGGTCTGGCTTGATGAATACGCAAAATATTTTTTCGAAAGAATTGGTAATAATTTAGGAGATTATGGCGATGTGACGTCAAGGATAGAACTTCGCAAGAAAATGAACTGTAAATCGTTTAAGTGGTATTTAGAAAATATCTATCCACAGTTGGAAATGCCTGATGTATATGTTGCTAGTGGTGTTGTAAGTTCTTTGAAATATATTTTTTTTCTAAAATGCTTCAGGTCAAGAAATCTTTAAGAAATTAATTAAATCCAATAGGCATCTTCCAGAAATATCACAATATTTTGTAACTCTCAAAATGATGTATCTATTTTTGTAACATAACTTTCGCAAGACTTTGTAAATGTTTATGTTTGACGTTTAGCGCGTCATGTGCTTTGCTCATAAATATGAGCCCCAAACGTGGCTTGAAAGTAGTCGTGTGGTCTCTACGCAGTCTGTAGCTGTTACGTAATCTAACAATTATTTGGATGAGCCGATGAACATCATAATTATATGTGTATAAATATTCTTACTCTGCTCGATTTTATCGAATCTGAGACTAAATATCACGATTTCGATGGTAAAGGCAACAAAGGATAATTGCTTATATGTTTTTTCTAGATTTACAGTATAGAAAATCCTGGTATATGCTTGGATGCGCACATAACATCTATGAATCGATATGATGATACTGTACAACTATTGCCTTGTCATTTTCAAGGCGGTAATCAGGTAAAGTTTGCATTGTTTTGCTACGTGTGAGTGAGGCTACCGGAGGCCCAGTTCTTTTCAACTAACATCTTTAACAAGTCCCAAATGGCACCGCACTTGCAACTGCTCTGCTCTCTCCTCTCCTCGTTTGCTACCTTATACGAAAAACAATCTGAAATAAAAACTTAGTCACCTAGTAAAAAAGATTTAACAATATTTATTGAACATTTTTTTTTTGTTTCAGTTTTGGACGTACAGTGTTCATGGAGAAATAAAACGCGACAATCTCTGTCTCGACTACTTATTGAAAACGGTTACATTATTTTTCTGTCGCAACACTGCTTCGCAAGTTTGGTTGTATAATGCAAATGTAAGTGATAGAAACAGTATTTTTTTTATTTTTTTATTCATAAAACATTTGAAATATTGGCATAAAAACAGATCTGTTGCTAACAATATTATCTCAGTTGATTCACTGAATAATTTCAATAAATTCATTATTTGCCAGTTAACATTCAGGACATAATAAGTATAGAGGACACACGCACGATGCGCCGTGCGTGTGCATAAACGAGGCCTAAAGGCCAGCCTCACCACCTCCATAAATGAGGTCTTTGTGTAGTAACGTAAAATAACCCATAAAAATTAACCAATAATTACCAGATTATGGCTACTGGTTAACAATATAAAAACCAGCAAAAACTTTTAAAATAGACATTTTCTAGTCGACGATTAACTATAAAGACACGTCACCAACCGTGACGAAAATAAAAGAAAGAAAGAAATGTGTCCTTTAAAAAGTAAAATTTTCTTTCAGTCGCAGGTCATACGGCACAAGCAGACTGCGAAATGCTTGAACATAGGAAAATTCCCAGAAGGCCTGAAGCCAGTGTTATCGGAATGCTTTCATTCGACTTCACAGAAATGGGTCATGGAACATTTTAAGTTCGATAAACTTGATCCACAGATACAGATGGAAATAAACCACTACCATAATTTGACGACATTGTAAATGATGTATAGATTGATAAGGACAACCATTTATCATAGAAGTTAAAAATCTAAATAAAAGTATTAAGAAACGATTATTCTCTCCTTCCCTCCTTTTAGAGCCCTCATTAAGTCTTATCTATTGATGTTTAAAGGGAAGTAAACATAAACCTGAATACATAATAAGAATCTAACCCAACGGAAATGCAAAGTGAACCACACTAAATAATTAATTCACTAGCAGCTTTACAAGCCAAAGAAACCACTGAACCTTTGAAGTACCCACTGTAAGAATAAAGGTGGTATGCCTTAACCACCGAGGGCGCTATGTACCTAAGAGAATTTTATTACCGTCCTTTTTACAGCTAAATTCAACCTCAAATGAGGACCCCCGTTTGAGTCCAGTGGCATTATTGTGGTTTGAAGGAAAAAGCGTTGTAACGAACACAAAGGAGAATTCGCTTTGTTCCAAATGTGAACGCTAGCTTTATTTTAGACTAAAATAAAAATATGAAATGTCGGAAAAAGTTATTTTTTTTAACATGCGTCATATTTTTTTGCGATGTTATTTTTTATGTGTATTTTCATTTTGCTCGCAATGCGTGCTCAATTTGCCGAGTATAATTAAAGTTTAGGTATTATATTAGTAAAAATATTTTTTTGGTTAATTTAATTAATAAAAAAATATAGTTTTTATAGTGTATATGTATAATAATATTTATTTGTACAAAACATGATATTTTTTAGTGGTTATAATATAATCGACAATTAACACAAAAAATATACGAAGAAAAGTCATATAACAAAGAGTATTTACAAGAATTTATTAAGATTTAAACTTTACTAAGGTACACTAAGCGAACGCATTAATTAAAACTTATTATCTTTTAACAAACACTAATTAATTTTACTCACTGTCCTACCGGCTGTTTGTTTTAATGATAAATATGGCTATTATCTGTCTGCCTGTCGCTTTTAGGAGCTATACATAATTATGCCTTGCTTCCGTACACAATGAATTAATTCTATATTCCTTAAGAAATACAAGGGTTTTTATTTTATATGACAGAAATAGGTATGCTCAAAAATTCGTATGCAATTTATAAGTATCCCAGACACAATGGGAATTTGGAGCCTAAGACGCGTAGCGTTCCGCGCGCGGCTCAAAAAGCCAGTAGACCACTACTTACAGATGGGGCCTTACAGCAGCGATTCTCAGCTGGGATTGCAGAGAAAGCACAAAAATTTGCCGTGGCCTAGACCGGGAAATAAAGAAAGAACGGGATTGTTTTGACGCCATACCCTAGGCAAGGGAAGTCATTCAATGATTTTTGTCTTACAAAAAAACCTCTGGCAACTCCTCTCGCCTCACCGTAAGCAAAGAGGTCATTGGTTGATCTTCCTACTTGAAACCAAAGGTGCTACCGTTGTTTGGTCACAAGATGGAACTAACCTAAGAATAGAACGTTTTGCCAGTTTTACCAAGTATGACTTTCCCACACTTAGGTATCTTGGTTTATTATCAACACCATCATCACCAGAGGCTATAAGTGCACACTGCTCAACAAAGTCCTCCTTTCACACGAAGAAAGTTTGAGCATTAATCACCACGGTTGTATTGGTTAATCAGATTGATATTCTATCATCGTCATCAATTTTCCGTGATACAGACAAAGGTAGATTATCAGATAACACTCTACTTAAATACATTTTTTACTAAACACATACATACATAAGTATGATTATACTATGACTATGAAACTCCCAACGTTAGTGTGTAATACAATATAATAAATTGTAATCGCAATCCCGCTCCAAGAATTGAATTGAACAATTTCATAAACTGAGTAATGAAAATGGTAGATTTGTGGTTGGTCACAATGGCCGGGTGATATACTTTCATCAAATATTTTATGTAGATTGTACATACTTAATCTAAGTTAATACGTGTAATACTTAAGTATGTTAATGCAGGGAAAATTCTAGCTTAAAGCAACGATTTGCATTAGGAAAAAGAGGAGTACGCGGCGCTTAAAACAGATACAATACATTACGATCTCACAAAAAACGTACAAGTTTTAGCTTGTTCACACGTTACAAGCAACCCTCTCAAACTGAAAAAACAAAACAGTCCGAACAACTCGAAAACAAGAAGTTTGTAATTTATAATGTACCTTTTTTTGTAAAAGTAGAAACTCTTATCTAAGGATTAACTTAATTGTGGTCATAAAATAAAATATTTCGCCGAAACAAAATTTTCAGGGGAGGTTTTTTGTTTTAACCTTAGTCCGGATTATGTCGGATTTTAGTTGTTGTTTTTGGCCAGCCAAAAATAAATTACAAGGCCCACTGTTTGGGCCTGATATTTGGAAGAGAAAGTAGTGTGGTTTACTTACGAGGAAGGGTTGTTGAGTTGTTTATTTATAAGCACTTTGTTCGACTTTTTGTCAGCGTTTAATGTGGGTAGTTTGATGCTAAAATAGTTAGCACATGGAAATAAATTATTGCATTGTTCATTCAACTGACTTAAAACAAAAGAGGATTGGCGATAAAAAGTTTTTTTCATAACCTAAACTTATTTATTATTTTGGCAGATGTTAACTATACTCTAGAGCTAGAATAGTTTTTTTTTGATAGATCGGTAAAATGGCTTAAGCAATCGGCGCCTGCTGGACATCGCAACATTGTGGAGTTGAGAACAATTGCGTTGTCGGCCTTTCGAGAATTAGCGACTTCAGAATTGGGAAAAGGGAGGGAAAATTTGGGCATCCTGTAAACTCAATCAAACAGCGAAACAAGTATAGCGTCATTTCACGATGATTTTCTGTCAACTGTCAAGATTTTCATTTTTTTAAACAATAATGCGAATTTTAGTTAAACGATGCACAATTTAATATTTCATGATTATAACATGTTAAACAATAAATAAAAGTAATAATACGAATACCAGTTTTTTTAAGGCAAATCGAGGTAAAATATTTAAAAATACTAGGCATTATAATTTGGTATTTTAGTTTAATTACTTTTGTGAAACATATTGAACACAATTATTATATTTAACGGGCTTACTTACGTAACTGTTTGACGAGGAACCGGACTAATTCCAAGCTACGCTAGGGTTTTTTGTTCATGAGCAGCATTGCGCGACATACGACGCGACAAACGTCGCCCAGCCAACAGAAATTAAGTGAACCATTACACATAATAAGTAGTTCCAAAACCTTTATAAATAATGGCAACAAGAAACATAAACAGATACAAATTCATGTGGTTAGGGCGGAGGGATTAATTTTAAACAGGGCCAGGGAAGCTACCTACTTTAAAATACTTAAAAGCCAGGATTAAGGAACTTCGAAATAGTTAAACTGATGAAGGCATTAAAAACCTAACCCAAAATATTTAAGCACAAAAGAGCCGTTGAACTTCATAATATAATTAACTTGTGATGATAATGTGAATCTCTATTTTTCTAACTGAATATAAATTGCATTTAATAACTAATCATTTCATCATCATCAGCCTGATGTCGTCCACTACTGGACATAGGCCTCCTCAATTGCACGCCACTGAGCTCGATATTCAACTCTTTTCCTCCAACCACTGCAAGCCACCCTGCGGATGTCGTCAGTCCACCTAGCTGGAGGGCGCCCTACACTACGTTTGCCTAGACGTGGTCTCCACTCTAGAACCCGTTTACCCCATCGGTTATCGGTTCGTACTAATCATTTAGTTAATATAAAATTCAATGTATGTACATATATGTATGTATGTTCACAAGATGGACAATACAAAATACAATATGGAATACACTATCAAGTATTATGTCACATTTTAAACAGAAATCAAGAAATTTGATAGTTTATGAAAATTCAAAATTTCAATAATGTACACTGTACAAGGGCCAAGAGTGTAACAGGAGAAGGATGGTATGTTGTCGCTAAGAGTCTGACACTCCTTTTCACCTTACACCTCTATTTTGTCAGGAGAAAATCATCAAATGACATCCCCCAGGCTAAGGCAAGAGGGAGTGTCAGACTCTTACTCCCCCCCGTTCCTTCTCCTGCTTTAGGCTGTGGCCGCGGTGCCTCATTGCGCTTGTCCCGCAACCTCTCACCCCTCCCTGGACGAGAGAAATCATTCGACGATATTCTCAACTCAAAGTAAAAAGCCGTATCAATAATCAATCTTTTTTCAAAGCTAAGTTACTTAATTCATTAAAATAGTGACTAGGAGAGTTCTTTTCCAATAAAACCTGATTTTTCCATTGATGGTTTCTGGCTTTACCTAAGCCACTACGCCATTTTTAATTTAACAAATTGCTGTTTTTCAAAGCATCAGAGATGGTACTGAGCTGTTTTATGCTTTCCATTTAACCTGAATGATAGGTCTAGAGTTCCCTCGATAACCGCAAAGTGAATGAGTGCGCCACTGGTGTGTTGGTGCACTGTGGATTTTATTTTGCGGTTTCGTAAGCTAGTAATTAAAATTGGTGTTTTTTTTATTATTCAGAGTACAATTTTGTTTTATTGCTTAACAGAATCTTAGGATACGAACTAAACACAATCAATTACACAAGTGAATATAATGAGAAAAGATCTAGTAGTTTTAAGTCTAGTTTTTTTTTCTCCCGCCGAATGTCGAGTTGAAGGGAGTGTCAGACTATTACTGACTAAAAACCCCCCTGTAAGGAACAGGGGGGTTTGGCTACTGCTCTGGGCCGAGGTCGCGGTGCCTCATTGCGCTCGCCCCAACCCCGGGTGAACATCAGCCCTGCAGGGCCCTGTCTGGGGTCTCTTTATTCATTATCATTACTCTTTATTCATTACGAGGGTGTCGCGCAGCCCACTGCTCACTTAAACTTGCATGCCGCTTTTGGATGCCCGCAACACCAAAGAAGTTACGAATGCATTGCCGGCCTTGAGAGGATTATTGCTTTGAGGGTTGGGGAAGTATGGCGGGAGGGAAAGGTTGGGCCTCTGGTAACCTCACTAACACGGCGAAATATACAATACTGTGGATGCC